AAATGAATAAATAAATAAATAAATAAATGAATAAATAAAGAATACACTCTATATGAACACTATCCTCACCACTAGTAGCAGCAGTAACATGTTGCATTGTTCAGTCTCTGTCTTCCTTTGCTCCATCAACTGCTGCAATGGAGGAACTTCATAACTACTCTCACCTTTCCTAGAGAGAGGAGGGAGAGGGAGAGAGGAAGGGAGGGGGAGGAAGAGAGAGAGGGAGGGGGAGGAAGAGAGGGAGAGGGAAGAGGGTTGAAGTATAATAATGGAATATATACATGTACGTGTAATTTAGCACAAATTTTCACACATTTTGTACAAATTACTATTTTTTGCTCCAATTTTAGCAGAAATGTCAATAAGCACATTCCCCCAGAATGACAACCAGTATACATGAGCAGTAACCAATAGAAGATTCATTCATGTACAGTAACCAATAGAAGATTCATTCATGTACAGTAACCAATAGAAGATTCATTCATGTACAGTAACCAATAGAAGATTCATTCATGTACAGTAACCAATAGAAGATTCATTCATGTGCAGTAACCAATAGAAGATTCATTCATGTGTAACTAATTGTACATGTTGTTCTAATGCTAATCTTACATTTCTCTGTACTCATTTTCAATTTTCATTTCTTCCTCCATTAGAAATGACAGGTACATCAGTCTCTTCTTGTCCAGTTCTAAAAATAGCAACAAATATAATTCTAAAAATAGCATCAATCAATCAACTAAATCAATATCAACGAATCAACGTTGATTAAATATGATTAATATTAATTAATAATGATTGCTATTAATTAATTAATATCAATTAATAAAATACCAATATTGTGACTGTATTTCATTGGGAACTTTGCCATTAGTTGGGTTGTCTATAAACAGAGACACTCGTGATTGATACAATACAGTTCAGCCTCTCTCTCTCTCTCTCACCCTCTCTCCATATATTCCTGTGACTAGTAAATTCTGTAAATTTGATGGAACAAAAACTGACTGACTGCTAACCTTCCGCCACTAATAAATAAATAAATAAATAATTAATTAATTGAAAATAAATAAATAAATGAAATAGTTAATATACATCCACTTACCACTGGATGGGTGCCACTAGTTGATGAAGTTGCAAAGAAATTTTGAACACGTTTTCTCTCTCCAGCTGTAATAAAAGAACAAATAAATATACATGATTATGTACAGTATAATTGGTTAGTTACCAGTGACTAGTTGTCCATCAAGCATCCAGAGATGAGGTATTATATCAATGACATGAGACCTGTCTGTATAGTAATGGATGAGATAAAGATAAGGTATAACATAATGTCTGCATACGTACCGTATAGCACAAAAATTTGGAGGGACAAAAATCTGGCGAATTTGGCAAATAGAGTTTCATTCACCAAAATAAAAACCGCCATTTTGAGCCATTATACGCATGTTCAATGGCACGTGGCCACTAATTCGCCAAATTAAAATCCGCCAACAACCAAAATTTAGCAATTCGCCAAATTTTACTCCCTCCAAAATTTCCGGCTATACGGTATTATACATGAAGGTATATACAGGAAAAGGTAGATCATAAAGATATACAGTATACTCTGTGCAATGTTACTAATATACATGTACAAGCTCACAGTTATTGTCATTGGTAAGTTTATTGTTTCCAGTCAGAGACAGTGAGAGTATATACATATGGGACAGTCTCTTCAACTCATTCCAATCAATATTGTTATTGTTTAATACTAACGAACCAATAGCAGGGAACCTGGATAGACCTTGAAGACTTTTAACCTACATGTAATTAAGAATAGTGGTATTAATAATAACAAGAGTAGCTACTATAGGGCGGTTAGACACTAGCTCCCCCTAACCAATTATCTACTCTTGATAATAATAATAACAATACTTCCACCTCTTTCCTCTGCTCATGATACTTCATACACTGTGTGTGCATAGTATGCTGTATCTCCCCATGTACTGGTATTCCCCCAGAAAAAAAAATTATTATTATTATGTTACATTGGATCACACAGTTCGGTCACAGGTGTGCAATAAAAGATACCCTATAGGCAAGGCCTCGTACTCTAGAAGGTGGCACAGTTTACACAAAAAGTGACCAATACCAGATTGGGCGTCTCTTGCCAGGGAAGAAACCACCCCATAATGCATTATTATCTATAGATAGATAATAATGCATTATCCTCATCCTGTGGTATATCCAGGAATCAAAGAGGGGCTACCCTACCAACG